AGACTTTGTTTCCCTTAAACCAAACATGAGATAAATGCATGGATGATTCTCCTATTTCAAAATTCCTTGGATTGCTTTGTTTTCATTCATTATTTGGGAAACTTAGTAACAAAAGAATGACAGGCTTTATGATGATTCTTATTTCAAAATTTTAAATGTTTTAGGCAACTTGATATGTTTTGTTAGTGTAAACGTCCTTTATATTTTATTAAACATTAATAATGAGGGGCTACCTTTCTTAAACCTATTGGTAGAGGAGGGATCTTTAAATATCATAATGGCAATTAAATTATAGGGTTTGCCAAGAATATAGGTATTAGTAACAGAGTAAGTGTTAAACTTTAAGACATAAAAGATAACTTCCAACATTATTGTTGTCAAGGGATTTTCTAAAATTAACATTAAATCTGACTCTTTTTATGCTATTCAATTATTATTTGCCAATGTATTTAACGTTTTGAATTACAGAGAATTCATGAGGAATTTTTTTCTAGCTTAACACTAAAACATGTCGAACGGTTACAACCATATGTGTACTAACCAACTTCTTAAGATGGAAACGTCACTTTCTTTAACTTTCATTGTTTTTGATAAATATTCATCTCTTGTGATTATATTTCATTTTACTTATGTACCAGGGATTTACTTTCTTGGACCACCCTAATGAACTCTCTTTTGTTGTATTAATATAATTTTGTTATTTTTTTTTTCAAAAAGAAGAAGAAAAAAAATAAGTAATAGCTTTTTCTTTTAAAGACATTAGTATTTCTCATTTCTATTTCAAGTGTTTAATTAATAGGATGTTTGAGTTAAGAGGAGGAGAAGATTTTTTGACCAATCAAATTGCAATATTTAAAAAACATTATAATTTGATTGATAAAAAAATCTTCTCCTCTCCTCCTAAAACCACCGGGGGTCAAAATCTACTACTGACCTAACAACTCCTCTGGTCAAAATTCAGTAGCCCTTAAAAGTTCAAACTCAAGTTATTAGTAATAGTTGGTTTCCACAATTATATACCAAACTTACTTAAAAGTCCTAACCGATATGATGTAGAATTCGAGGCGTTATAGCTCCATTTCCCTCAACTCAAATATATTATAAGTTGTTGTTCCTCAAACACTCTCCTTCATCTCCACGTCATATCATTGTTGTGCTTTGATCACAAGATAAAAAAAAATAATAATTAATGAACTTATCAAAAAATATTGATAAGAAAATATCATTAAAATAGGCGTGAAAAACTTACTTACTTTAGAGTGATTCACACCTCTACGAAGAATACATTAACCGGTGCAACAAAGAAACATAAATCATGTCGCCCCCAAAATACTACAATTTATAATAACACTCTATGGATCTGCACTATTGTAATATCCCAAAATTTGGGGATATTTTAGCATTAAGTAAGGGACTTATTTGAGGGAAAATATTGTTTTGGGGGTTAATCGTAAAATTTTAAAAAGTTGAGGGGCTAAAAAGAAAGGAAATTAGGATAAGGATCAGCTGTCTTCCTTTTTCTTTCTTTCTTCTTCCTTATCCGCACATCTGCTCTTCTTTTCTTCTCCCCTGCACCCGACCAGCCCCCCCTCAAGCTGCCGATAGTTTCCCTTGGGAAACTCGGCAAAAAGCTTGAATTTCTCTTCTTTTCTTGTTAAACCACGAGATTTGGGGCTTAGAATCTTCCCTCTCAACCCAAAAATCCCGGATCTGCTATGCTCCTTCCTCCCTTGTCCGTCGGGCTCTGCTAGGTGTGGATCCTTCGGCTTTTCTGGTAAGATCTAGCCATGAATCCCTCTCTTTAACCTTGATTTAGGTTGGGTTTACTTTAATTGCTTTATTCCCTTCCAATTTCTGGTAGAACCGTGAGTTTCCCCCCCTGCACTGCCGCCGGTCTTCCCCCAACTGCAGCTCCAGTTTTTGGCTGGATTTCTTGGTATGTGACAGCTGTATTTAAGTCCAAATTACCGTTAAATTGCTACCCTGTGATGTCCAAAATTCTGTAGAAAATGGGGGAGGAATTCCGGTAGCTTTAGGACAAAATTTAAGCATTAATTCAAGTGAAAATTTTGTGATTGAGTGCTAATTGATTGCTGTGATGTTTTGTGTGAAAATCCCGTGTGTGTGAGTTGTGGTTTGCCAAAGCTATGCCCTCCATGTGCTGCCCGTGAGGTTGGGGAAATTTTGGTAGCTTTAAGCTATGTTTTAAGTGTGGTTTAAGTAGAAAATTAGCTTGTTATGATTGTTGTTGTGATTTTGGAGAAAAATCCCGTGAGATTAGTTACTGTTTCGCCAATTTCGGAAGTTGAAGTTACTGTTCACGAGGTATTGTTCACGGGGAACTGTTCACGGGCACTGTTCACACACGGAGGGTCAACGATTAACAGGGATTTAAATGATTAGTTTGTGATATAAGAATAAATGTAGAGATTGATAGAAATAGCACTGTGACTAGGGGAAGTGCTAAAGATGATTTCACTGTAAAATTGTGGTGGTATGGTTATTAATTGTGGAATATTGTGATTAGGTTTTGATCGTTCTGTCACTGTAGCACTTGGGTTAGCCTTCTGTTCTATGCGAGTAAGGTAAGTAAATTATGGTAAAGCCCTTCGATTTTAAAGCATGTTTTAAACTATTTTTGAGATGGTGGCAAGGTTTAAAGTAATTTTAAATTGATTTTATCAGCATCTGAATGTGATTAAACTAAAATGGAAACTGTGATGGTTTTTATGAGAATTTCACTGTTTTTTTCTGGAATTGAGCATGATTGGGGTGAAAATGGGAATTTCATTGTTTTCTGGAATTGAGCATGATTGAAATGAAAAGTGAGAATTTCATTGTTTTTCTGGAGTTATTGCACCGAGCATGATTGGTTTGAAATGAAATTGTTTTCATTGGTATTGAGTAGAGCATGCCTATTTGGAATTGACTGAACTGTTTTGATGAACTGAGAGTTTACAAATTCTGAGTTTTCTGATAAATCCATGCCCACATGGATTTTTCTGGTTATTTCTGAAATTGGGATTGATTGTGAAATTCGAGTTCTCTGTAAACTCTGCATGGTTTTGTCTCGGATATGGTCATGATTACTGATTACTGTGCCCACTAGTGGGAGGTTTATAAACGCTAGCACATGTCGACATGTTTACTGATATGACCGGTCCATTCTGTAACCCTACCAATGGGGTTAAACATTGGGTAATTACTGTCGCCTGCCAGTGGGAGTTGTAAACACTGGCACCATTACTGACGCCTGCCAGTGGGAGTTGTTAAACACTGGCACTTCTGTAACCTTGCCTATGGGGTTAAACATTGGCAACTACTGTGCCCGCCAGTGGGAGGTTTATAAACGCTGGCCATGACTTATAGATGAGACTACT